CGCAGTGAGGTCATCAAAGCCCACGTGCTCAACCGGCAGCAGAGCTTGCGTCCACCGCGACTTGGTGGTTGGTACGGGGAGGACGACGGTGGCGAGCTGCAGCCAGGCCTCTCGCCACATGTGGACATGTTGGAACGTGCGACCACAAAGTGTCGAGAGATGCTGCAGGTGGAGGACGTTTATTTCCAGTCGTGCGTGTTCGATCTTCTCACGACAGGAGATCCGGAGTTCTCCATGGCTGCGTATGGAGCCCTGGAGGACCTTAAGGCACTTCCGCCAAGCACTCTGAAACAAAGTTCACCCAGGACTCCACACACTTATAGTAGAGGAACAATAGTTATACCTTCTGTTTTCACAGCTCTGGTTCTTATGCTGCTGTTGAACTGAAGGAGCTGGTATTGACGCCAGCTTGAGGATGAATACCCACCAGCCAGACTGTTCTTCAACCATGAAACCCTCCTGGAAAAACAATCAAACTGTCTGCAAGTGAGAGACGGATCCAAACGGACTCATTTCCATTGAAAAATGCAGTGTTTTACTCAAAAACAAACAAAAAAAAATACGGATAATGGCAGAAATCGACAATTGCACGAATCTGGAAAAGATGAAGGCAGCTAATCGGCGTATCTTCAAGGTTATCACCGATTAAAGAATGGAAACTGTTGATACAGATGTGACATTATTGGATGAAATTATCGTAAAAAACACATAGGGTGTCCTCACATCTTCCTGAATCACACAAGTTTAGGTGCACTTCAAACTTTCTACTCTCATATAAGAAAATATATTATCTACACCGGAGCCAACAACTACATGAAATGCTACCTATCCATATATATATTATCTGGGTCCATACATCTACACACTAAGCTACAGTCATGGTAGAAAAAGACTTCTTCAAGCTGCTCTGCTTATTAAGGAGAAAACAAAACAAATTCTTTATATAATAATATATTGAAAGAGTGTGTATATATGTGTACATTCACTTGTGTATAGATGTTAATGTTTCAAATGTGATGCTTTGAAGCAGTTTCCTCTAGTTAGATATTTTTTTAGTTGGTATAAAACAACTAATATTTG